GCAGGGCCCCCTCAGCTGCCTCCTCCTGCGGCTCCCACCCCACTGCGGGCACTGTACCTTATTGCTCTGAGTCTTCTGCTCTTCCATCTTCTTTAATTTCATCTCCTCTTCCTTTTCAGACTCATCTTCCTCCTCCTCTTCTTTATCATTGTCCTCCTCCTCCTCCTCCTCCTCCCCTTCTTCATCCTCCTCCTCACTCTCTTCATCTACAGAGAGACCACCGTTACCAATGGGAGACCAGTCGCTGGCCCCGGAGCAGGTACAGCCCTGCCCAGACAGTAACGCTGCCCGACTCCTCAACTCCTCCGACCTCGGAGCCTCACATCACCTGGGTTCTCGCCCCTCTGCATGGCCAGCAGCTTCAGCTTCTCGGGAGGGACGTAGTCTCCTTCCTGCTCCGTCACGAAGGGCGAGAGGTGCGGGGGCAGCAGCACGCCAGGGAAATAGTCAGCCACGGGGAGGCACAGCTTGGCATTGACGGAGTCAAAGACCCACTGAGGCTGGAGGTAGTACCTGTGGGGCAGAGGGGGACGGGCTCAGACTCTTTCCTCAGGCTCTGGAGCCTGTGGGACTGTGAGGGAGCAGACAGAGCACGGGACAGCTCTGGGACGGCCAAGGACACCTGCTAGCCCACATGCCCATTCTGGGGACAGGCCACCTGCCTCACCCACCTGCCAACAATCTGCTGCTCCACCCGGGGCCGGTCAACAATCTGGTGGGTGATGGAGGGGTCGTTCATGTCGTAGGTGGCACCGATGCACAGGGACTTGTCCCAGGAGACCTGGCCACCAAAGCACCTGCCAGCAAAACCCACCGAGAAGTCAGGCAGGCAGGAGGGGCCCTGAAGGTCACCTCGCCCGCGGGACTTCAGGCAGATTGCTCTCAAAAGTCCCAATATAGAGGCCGGGGGAGGCAAGCACAGTCTAGCAGGGCTGCCGAGGGACAGCCTGCCCACCCCGTACCGGATGCCACGTACCGGATGATAAAGGCCAGTGGCTCTCGAGGCACCTCCCTGTTGAGGAAGAAGCGCAGGCCTTCAAACAGCTTTTTGTGCTTCTCCAGGGCCTCCTGCTCCTTCTTCCTTGCGTCCATCTGCTCCGCAGTCTCCTGCTTAGAGGAAAGCATTCAGCCTCCTCCCCCAGAACAGCCCCTGTCAAGCCCCTCTCCGCAAGGAGGGATCTCGGATGTTGTCCCCATCCTCCTGCCAGTCCCTCCCAGCACCACACCAGGCTCTTACCCCCTCCACTGGGAACTCATCCATCTCCACCTCATCCTCATGGGTCGGTGCCACCACACGAGCCAGGCTGGCGCTCAGAGCTGACAGTTTCTGCAGAAGGAGGAGACCAAGAAGGCATCACACCCAGCCACTACTTTGGGGATGGGAAAAGGGGCAGCCTCACGGAGGAAGGCGATTTCTCAGAGCAAGAGATCAAAAGACCGAGGGACTAGACAGGCATTCAGCCTCCTCCCTGTACTGTCCCACCCTGCAGTCCCCAGCACGGGACTTCAGAGGGTCCCCTGCCATGCAGGAGTGGCCCCCAAGGCCAAGCACAGCTCCTCTCTTGGCCAGCATAAGTGGGCAAGGAGTTTGGGATCAGTCCCCTGCACCATGCAGGGACATGGCTCTGCTCCTCAGTCCCCACACGCCGAGTGCCCCACGCCAGGAGAGGTCTGTGTTGACGACACCAAGGCCACACAGGGTCCTGCCACGGACCACGGTGACAGCAGCGTCCCTCACCTCCAGGTAGCTCTCTGAATCCATGGCATACTCAGTGCCCTCTGCGGGCTTCAGCTCAACATCAGCGTGGCCATCGATCTGGGGAGAAACAGAAAGGTGGGGAGGCAGCTCCCAAACCCAGACACCCAAGCATCACCCCCTCCACCACTGCGACTCTCTAATATGGGCTCGGCTTCCCACCACCCACACCGGGTGGTACCACCATGCTCAGGCCAGTGTGGTGTGTCCCCCAGGCAGGCGGTGGCCTCACCTTGGGGGGGTAGACCAGGTTGAGGGAGTGGTAGAGGCGAAAGTTGACGAAGCCCAGAAGAGTGGTGTAAAACTCGGTGAAGGTGGCCATCACACGGTAATCCACGTCTGTAGGGTGCTGCAGGCAAACGGGAAGGGTGAGGACACAAAGACAAAGTACCAGAGTCCCCTCTGCAGGGACAGGGACCTGTCCCATCTGCGCAGGGAGGAGGATCTGTCCCCCTTCACAGTGAGGTCTGGAGAACCATGGCCACCGCCAGATCTGGGGCAGGGAGAGCTCTCCAGGCTGCTACAGGGGGCCCTGCTGCCACCCCTCCATGAAGGGATCTGCTCAGACAGACGGAGCACCTCATCCCATCATAGACGGGGACCTTCGTGGCTTGGTCCAGGGACTCTGCTCCTCCGGGTGAGAAGTGCAGGCCATGGCAAAACCAGACAAGAGCAGGACAAGGAGACAAACCCAGCAGAGACCCAGGCAGCCGCACAACAGCCAGAACTGAAGGCGGCGAGCAGTAATGCTGGCTGGGGAGGACAGGGGTTGGCTGAGGAGATGCTGCGGGGGTGAGCTGGCGAGGTGAGCCCCACCACAGGCCGTACCAGAGGCCGCAAAGCTGGAAAGCCTCAACCCAGCTGTGCCAAGCCCTGGAAAGCGCCGGCGCGAAACAAGAGGGCAATGCTGTGATGGTGAATTTCTGCCTGCCAAGGATCTTGGCAAGGTGCAGCACAGTCGCGTGGCTCTCCTGACACGGTGGCACCCACAGCTCTCCCCTTGCCCTTCCGCCTGCCTGGATCGCACAGGGGATGCAGCAGACCCACCCTAACAGAGGGTGTGGGGTCTGTCTTGGCTCTTCCCTAAGTGCTATCAGTCTCATTCCTGCAGGTTAATCTTTAATTGCTGATTAAAGCATAATGATTGACAAGAGGAAATAAAGAACTGTGGAGACTGGTACAGCCATCCCCAGGGGACACAGGTACAGCCATCTCCGGGGGGAGAAGAGGGCTGTGTCCCCACACGCCTCCTGAGCTGGGCCCCGTGCTCTCCAGCAGAGGCT